CAGTAAGAACTGCAAATAAATATGATATAAAAAATGAGAACTATTTGCTTCCATTCATTTTAGTTATATGATAATCAATTACGAAGAACCACCAAAGTAGTAAAAAGTATATCAAATTCTAGCAAGATAACCAAACACTAAAAAAAAAGGCTAATGAAAAAAAAAAAAGTCTAATAAATATTCCAATAATCCTTAATCATCCACTTTAGCTTTTCTCGTCGTTACTGGCAGATTCTTCAGAAATAACTATCTCTTCTTCCGCATTCAATTCCTCCAAAAGGTTGCGTTTGACACTTGATGAATATGCTATCAAATCAGAACGTTGTAAAAGTTTTACTGTTGTGGAGATCTCATCCTCTAATAGAAGCATCCTAAAAGCAAAATTACTTGTAACTAACATAATCACCATTAGATTTTACTCCATCAACCTCTTTAAGTATGACCAAATTAATTTCAACCAGAAGCCCAATGTCATCTACACAATATGCCCACATCAGTTACAATGGTTAACTGAAAAATGTTCAAAGATATATATTAAAAAAAAAAAAAATAAATTTTAGTTACCAAAGTGCAGAACTCGGGATAGCTTGTCGAGTAAAATATAATAATCCTTTAAACTAATGATAAAAATTAGTAACATAATTCATAAAATTAACAAACTGATTGTTAATGGTCGCGTATTGTTCGCCCAACAAAGAGTATGAGCAACTGAGTACTTATTCTTTCCCATAAGAATGATATGCAACAATTCCAATAGAAAGAAGAAAAAGGAAAAAAAAAAAAGAAGCAGAACAAATATATAGGTTGTCAAGATCGTTACCTCCATGTACACTTATAAAATCATCATCAACGTCAGAGTCTAGTGTGCTAAACGTGTCAAACCATGATTCTTCCTGATAAATTGCTATTAAAAAAAACAAAAAAAAAAGCGCTTTGCAGTAATTTCTATGTATATAACACATACCCACACCCTTAATGAAGTTTTTGTTAAATTATTGATATTACATAAAAGGGTAAACACACAACATAACTAAACAAAAAAAGAGAAATTCAAATTACCATTGGAATCGATTTGCCACGACAACTGAGTGAAATGGAAGGTGGAGTTTGAGACGGCCGACGGTGAGAAAGAGGAAAAAAAAGAGGGAATGACGGGAAAAAGAAGAGAAAGAGGGAGAGACATATAATGTTCAGTATTCTATAAGATAATGAAGATATTATTATATGGAATTTAAGATAATAAGGAATGTATCCAAACAAATCTGAATGTGATATGTGATATTTTCCATTTTAATTAATTTTTTATCTAAAAATTTTCAAAATACATTTAGGCGGGATATTAAAAAATTTCGAAAAAAAATTACTTATTTTAGTAAATCTGAAATGTTTAGGCGGGAAATCAGTTACTATTTCAGGTAAATGCCAAACCTTTTTATATGTATATAGATATAGATTAGCCTTTATTTACTAGCAAATTTGATTTATGAACATTCGTTATTTTTTGTTTACTCATTGACTAATATTCATTAGTTATAAATTGTCTTAAATAGAATATTGATAGATTACATATATTTTCAATAAGATTCTAATATTAATTCCGTAGTATTTTTTGACACAATTAAAAAAGCTATTGAAATTATCAAACATTGATTTGATTAATTATATCATTATCTCATGATTGTAGATATTAATTTTATTCACTATGTTAACCATTCAGAAGCACTTAAAATATCTAACAAATAATCAGAATAATTGTGTTTGAATCATATTAACTTAATGAATAATTTACAGTAATAACAAAATTTGCTAAAATATAGTCAACATAAACCTTAAAAAGTATATCTTTATTGAATATATTATTTTATTATATATACTTTTGAAAACTAAATTTAATATATTGATAAAATTATTATTTGATGGTCAGAGTGAAATCTAGAATTATAAATATTACTGTAAAATTATCTATATACATACAAAAAAAAAAAAGAAGATTAAGTCGTAAAATAGTATATTTCTTATTATATACTATTTAACAAAGAAAAATGAGTAAATAGGATAATATAGTCAAATATCATAATTAAAATTATATTATTTAATAATAAATGAAATATATAATTTATTTAAACATTTAAATTGGATATTAATACACTCTATATATGTTGAATAAATTTATTAAATATATAAAAATTGTTGCATAAGCAATTAAAATTACTACAATTTAAATTTAATTATCAAACAATTAATATTTTATGCATCTAAAATTTTAATAACAGAAAAATAAATTTTACGGATTAAAACATTACTTAGCTATCGAGCAATGTACAAAATATGAATTGTTGAAAAAGTTATAAGATCAATATAATCAATTATTTTACAAGTATATGTAAGTAATTTGTATACAAACACTATATTTAAAATCTAGATATTGATACTATTTTATAAACTTATTAATAGTAAGATTTATATATTAAATAGTCAAAACCTGTAAAAATAAATCAAAAAATATATTCAAACAAAATTATATTATTACTGACTTGGTATATTGAGTTGGATATAAATATCATGTTGTCTTAAATAAATTAACAATATTTGAATAATAAAATATTACTTTATAGTATACCTCGTGCATCTAACAGGTCTCAACACTAGTTCAGATTATGAAGGTAGCAATTTAGGTTTCACTTAAATGACAATTTAAGTCTTGCAATCAAGTGTAGTTTACGCTACTCTAGAGTAGAGAATGTCAAAATTTAACTTTCGTCTTCAGTCATTCGTGCTACATTTTACTCTACATAAAATATATTAGTACAAATAAAATTTAAATACAAGTATAAAGTCAAAATGTTAAATTATTTAACAAAACAAATAATTTTAAAATCAATAAAAAACTATAATTTGAAGAGAAAAATTGTAGCACGGTGAATAGTACCGCGCTACATGTAGCACAAATACTGTTCATATTTTAAGAGTAGTGCGAAAATAAATCGCAACATTGGAGCAAGTTTCTTGCACTGCGCCTCTGGAGTAAAATAGAAATATGGCGCATGGTTGGAGAAGCTCTAATTTACTGCAATTATAATCATTGACGACTCAAATAACAATAAAATTTAAAATTACATGAAAATTTCAAAATACATATTTTCAAGAATGCTAGTAATAGATGAGGAACCTCCAAGAAACACAGAAGATGTCTTAAAATCAAGCAAAGAGAATGAAATCACCACAACTACAAAGCAGAGATAAGGACACAAAGTTGCAGAGATATAATATTCCCAATGATGTATCCATATTGTTATATCACTGATTTCACAAAGCACGAGATATATGTAATATGAGAAAATGATTGCGACCTGAATAATCTTACAAAATCATAGAACAAGAAACACCATAAACATAGGTAACAAATCCAGCATCAGAATACCACCACAAAGAAGTCGAAGTCCATGCCTTATTTCTTGACAGGGCGGGCCTTCACGAATTTCGACCCAACACTCTCATGAGCCTTCTCCATTTGACAACAAAATAAACATACAAACTGTCCCACACTTTTTGAAGGAATGCATAATACGCTTCCCTCCATTTGTTTTTGAAAAACAATGTAGTGAGGACAGCTGAAATCCCAACAGCATATCCTAAAGATAGGAATACGTAAAACCAATTAACCTCTCGCATACTGACTTCTTGGCCTTTATTCTCTACGTTCGTTGGGGTAGAGGCATTACCACCACTTCTGCATGAAATTTTCAGTGGAGAGCCACAAAGATTGTTGCCAATAAAGCTCGACTCGTTCAAGCTCCCAATCTGGGTGCTTTCTGGGATCCTTCCAGTCAAGTGGTTATACGACAGATTTAAGTAATTCAGAGTAGTCATGATTGACATGCTACTTGGAATGTTTCCAGAGATTGAATTCATGGAGAAATCAAGAGATTCGAGTTCCTTCATGTTTCCAATGTTGTCTGGTATGGATCCTGTTAAATGATTTCGTGACAGGTTCAGTGTTCTGAGTTCAACCAGACTTGACATCTCCCTTGGGATATCACCAGACAAATTGTTCATAGAAAGGTCAATACTGATAACCAAAAAGAGATTGGCATCGTATATGAGTTCTCTTCCCTTCATTGAAATTGATGCGCTCTCCTGAAAAGAACCTTCCTCAAGTACAGAATATTGTGGCCTATCCAAAATCCTTTTAGTGGTCATGGTGGTAAGATTGTTGAGCCACTGGGGTAGCTTCCCTGACAGTTTGTTATTAGAGAGATCCAAGATTTGAAGAGAAGTGAGCTGACATATGGATGGACTAATTTCACCACTGAAATTGTTGGACTGCAAAATCAGAAATCTAAGATTGAAAAATCTTTTGTCAATCCATTTTGGTATGTCTCCACCAAGATTGTTATCACTAAAGTCGATCTTCACTAGTCCAATGCAGTTTTGCAATGAAGAAGGTATGTGGCCAGAGAAATTGTTGCCGTGAAGACTCAAAGACGCTAACTGGTTAAGAAATCGGATGGAATTTGGTATTCTTCCGGACAGTTTGTTGTTGGCTAAGTTCAACACTGCCAATGATCGCCATTTGATAAAACATTCGGGTAGCTCTCCAGAAAGATGATTTCCTTCCAAATTTATAATCACTACATTGGACAGAGTGGTACAAACGAATTCTGACAAGCCTCCGGAAAATGAGTTATTGGAGAGATGGAGTTCCAAGAATGAAGTTGTCATTAGTTGAGGCAGTGGACCACTAAACCTGTTGAAACTCAAGTCAAAAGACTTGAAGAAATCACGATCATCGTTGCGACGATTACTAATGGATAAAATCTTTCCGTCGAGTTGGTTATGCGAAAGGTTGAGATATCTCAAACTCCATAACCAGCTGGGAACATTTCCATTGATTCCAGTAGACGATAAATCAAGTTCAGAGATACTCTCTTTCTGAGTCTCAAGCCATAACGGGAATTGAGATCCCAAGTCCCAAGACACTAGATTAAGCGTCTCTAGTTTGAATGGTGGAATCCAATTGGGGTCGACTTTTAAAGTCAAGTGGTTTCCAGCGGCTCGTAAGAATCTTAAATTTGAGAGATTGCCAATGTGGGTTTCAGTCACAATCCCTTCCAACATGTTGTTATCTATCGAAAGCGCTGTCAAGTTCACAAGTTTCCCAATACTTTCTGGTAAGTTCCCACTCAATTTATTATTACCCAAGTATAAATGTTCAAGGGAAAGCAAGTTCCCTAATTCTTCTGGAATTATACCGGAGAGTTGATTGTATGACAAATCTAAAGATATCAAAGCTCCTAAGAAACAATCTGACATATTGTTTCCAAATGATCCTCCCAATTTACTAGAATATGAACTACTTAATGTTCGAATATTGCACAGGTTTGTAATTACCCTTGATATTTTTCCAGAAAGTCCATTTCCAAGTAAATAGAGGTATTGGAGGTTGGTGAGTTGAAATATCCACGGAGGGATGACGACATACGACAGGGAATTGTAGGAGAGATCAAGAGTGGCTAAATTATAACGGCTGATGTTGTTAACATCATTCAGAGGAGCCATCAGATTAAGACTACAAGAACTCATTTGCAGATCAACTAAAGAAGGGAGGCTGTAAATCACCTGTTGTGCCCAGTTGGTCGCTTTTCTGAGGTTCACACCATTCATGTTGAGGTTCTCTAGTTTTGGAAGTCCCGACAACCATTCAAGACTATCAGCATCCAGCTGTTGTCTTGAAGTACCCAAACTTAGAGAGTGCAAATTTGAAAGATTCCCAATATTGTGTGGAATCTTTCCATAAAATCCAGCATCTTCTAAATTCAAGTACTCGAGGCTAGTGAGTGATCCGATGAAGGGAGGGATATTTTCGTGAAAGTCGTTAAAGCTCAAGTCAAGATATTTCAAATGCTTCAGGTTGAGCAAAGAAGGATTTATTTTGCCACCTAAAAAATAAAGTTTAAGATCAAGTCGAAGAACACGACCAGTTACGTCCCTGCAGACAACATCTTCCCAAGTGCAACAATCGACTTTGGAATCCCAAGAAGGCAACAAGTTTGAGGATCCATTAAGAGATTGCTTGAAGGTTAAAAGTGATTGTTTTTCGATTTCAGGGCAAGAGATTGAATCGAGTGGTCTCAACAAGGATAATAAAAGGAGAACCCAAAACATAGATGCAAGGATAGAGAGTTTTGATTGATTCATTATCGTTACTTAGAATTTGTAGTACTGATGGTGGTGTTATTAGGAAGAGTTGGATCTTGGATGTCCATGCAATCTACATATATATACAAGGAATTAATGAGGTGATCCTATTCTTGCCCATCTTATGGTTCACTTTTTCCAATTCAAAGAAACATTATTGGTATTACTGTACTAATTTTTATGTTATTTGTGTCAGGTGTAAAAATAGTATAACAATACATATTAAGGAAAAAAATAGTATTCATGCATTGCATGTGTTAAAGGTGTAAATCCGCTGCAAACTATCAAATTGTGTGAAAATGGGCCAACACCGACTTTTCATGTGACAACGAAAAGGAAAAATGTTTTGAGTTATAAGACGACTTTGACTTAAAATATAGATATATATATATATATAT